ATAATAGCTAAAAATAAAACAATAATAACGAGGATAACTCGCCACAAAAAGATAAAAATGCGCCACAAAATAGATGTTAGGTAGGTCACCACTGAAAATGACAACCTAAATCACTATTTTTTTGTGATGACCTAAAAGGTTGACAAAGAATATTGTTACCAAAAATAATAATTTGGGTTGCCGTTTTCGGTGACGACCAATCTAATATCTATTTTGTGGCGCATTTTTTAACATTCGAACTTAGTCGCCACAAAAGATTTTATTGTCATTTTATTTTTACCTTTTGCGGTGACTAAGCTCGACACAAAAAATTAAAAAATGCGCCACAAGATAGATGTTAGGTAGGTCAACCCATGCCACTACGGCGACATAAGTGGTCGCCACAAAATAATGTCTCTGAAAAAACTTTTTGTGACACTGTATAGATCATGGGCCATTTGCGCACACAGCAACTTTTAAGGTTATATCACGCCCCAAATTCGGGGAGCGCGACTGACATTCAATCAAGTAAACCCGGATGAGCAAGCATGTTAGATTTTATTCTACCCAAACTCATTCATGAAATAATAGGAGATGTACTCCATTAATCAAACACTGAAAAGATTTCATTAACAACATCCTTTTTCATTCCCATTAGCAGCTTCCTTCATAATTTTTAAAATATTACGAGTTTATAGAATTGATGAAAAACATGATTTTCAAATACCAACATATCTAGTTCAGTTCCCAACATCAACCACAATCCACAACATGTCTACGGAGCCTCTAAGTACAATAGAAGAGTAATATGGAAATGCCGGCAACAAGGCCCCGGCTATACCTCAAAACACAGTACATGAGAAACAAATACATGACCCCGAAATGAAGTGGGGCTCACCAAATCAACTGAAAAGAGTATACTGCTATCACTGATCAATGACACCTGTTGTAGAACCACCTGCATCCATTAAAGATGCAGCGCCCCCAGCAAAAGAAACATAAGTACTGTCGAATAGCACTAGTATGTATAGCTAAAAATCCTCTTTCAAAATAGAATGCCCATATAAGAAAAGGCAACACATAGCAACAGCAAGTCAAAATCCACAATATCCAAATGTCCGGTTAAAACATAATAATTTTCAAAATACGAACTTCATATACAAGTTTTGGTTGGGAGATCATTAACACCGATATACCATTGTTCACAATACCAATGTTCACAATACCAATATTTACAATACCAATATTTACAATACCAGTATTTACAATATCAATGTTCACAATACCAGTGTTCACAATACCAATGCCACCGTACTTTTAGCACGGAGTCCGATCACGACCCGATCGGCTAGGCTATCTCATTAGAGAATCAACTACAATTACTATCAATACCAATACCACCATAAATTTAGTACGGAGTCCGATCACGACCCGATCGGCTAGGCTATCTCATTAGAGAATCAACCACAATTACTATCAATATCAATACCACCGTAAATTTAGTACGGAATCCGATCACGACTCGATCGGCTAGGCTATTTCTTAGAGAATCAACTACAATTACTATCACCGTAAATTTAGTATGGAGTCCGATCACGACCCGATCGGTTAGGCTGTTTTATTTGAAGACATCAACCAAAATCTCAATTTCAATTAAGAGGAATAATTTTATCACATCAATCTCATCCTAAATAAGGAGAATAATTCACAAAAATAACATAGGTGCAAATATATTTACCTCATCATCTTTCACATTGTATAAATCTCCACTAGTATTTTTAGTCATTCACAACGACAATATTTCCTTGGCTCTTTTGGCCATTCACAAGATTCTTTATTCAAGGCACGGTGGCCATATTTGATATTCCACACTTTCATTTCTTCCCTCCCATGTATCATCATTATAAATATCAACATACATATAATATTCCGGAAATCACAACTTTAAGTTTATTAGAAACGAACAATTTAAGCATAATAGATTTCTTTCCGAGAAATGGAGTAATATAATTGGCAATTGATGCACAAGTTAAAATCATCAACAAGTAACACATCATTTATTCTTGAAATACTTTTTCCCAAAAAAGATAATACACAATTTTCACTCACGAATATGTAATAACGCAAAACACATTGGAAATACTCACAAAGCATAGTATTTGTTAAAACAGCCACTTATGGCATGACTTGAGTACGAAAGCTTTTAGGCAATTCTATTTTTGAAGTCATTTTAAAACATTTGAGTCGATTCTCATTTCATAACCTTTCTCACATCATTTCATTTCATTGGCACCATTGGCCACAAGTATAACTTTTACTCTTGCACATTGGCCACACTTTATATCCCAATTCACTTATTTCATTTCCAACTACATTTATAGGTTATCAACAATAATACATTTCCAATTCAAACTTTAGGTACACATGAGCAATTTCGAGTCTTAAGAATATTGAGATTTTCTCACACAATTAGTATACTAGTTCTTATCTATAACACGACTCAAAGCCACAACATTTTAATATGCAAACCATACTTTGAACATCTATCTTTCGACATAAGGCTCATTCGGAATAAAAAAGTTTATAGGGAATAACACGGAATATAGAAGTTAGGAATCTTGAGCCAATTATATTTGAACTTACGGAAATATTATGGATATCTATTCTAAGAGAGAAAGTTTAGCCAACATACCTTGCTTTGATCTTTCCTTAAATTACTACAACATTTCGGAAATTCTAACAATCCCAATCTATTTTGAGACATAACAAAAATTGAACCATTATTAGGAAGATATTCATGATCTCAACTCATTTGAGCATTTTATCAAACACTAGGCGTGCAAATCTATTTACAAGGTTCTTCTACAAGATTTCCTTCACTCCATAACCCAATCTTTACTTATTTGAGCTCAACAATCTCTCCACAAACCTTATTAGTATAAGCATGTATAAATAATGCTCTTATACCCAAGAATCATACTCCAAATCAACTATCTTTTACCCAAATTCGAAATTGGAAACTAGGGTATGGAACCTTACCTCTTAGATGAAGATCTTGTGATTAGCTTCCTTGATTCTTGAAGATTGGTGCAAGATTGGATGATTATAATGTTAGGTTCCCTCCTTCTCTCTCTAAAATGCTCTTACCTCTCTTTAAAACCCCCAGAAAAACACCCCAAAATAAGCCCCAAAGCCTATTTATCAAAATGGGGTCGGGTTATGAAAAGAGAAAAATTAACCCTCCGAACTCAGCTATGCGGTCACACAATGGACCGCACAATTGGTGTGCGGGGTCGCACAATGGTCTCATAAATTGGTGCCCAGAACTGGGCTGTTCTGTTCCATTCTGCGACCAGAATAAGCCCCAAAGCCTATTTATCAAAATGGGGTCGGGTTATAAAAAGAAAAAAATTAACCCTCCGAACTCAGCTATGCGGTCGCACAATGGACCGCACAATTGGTGTGCGGGTCGCACAATGGTCGCACAAATTGGTGCCCAGAACTGGGCTGGTCCATTCTGCGACTAGTTTGCGGTCGCATAACCATTTTGCGATCGCATAATGGTCGCAGAATCGCATTATGTCAACCTTTGGTAATTTGATCATAACTTCTTGTAGGAATGTCCAAATGACGAACGGTTGGAAGAGTTGGAAAATATACTCAAAGGGCTTTAATTTTATAGGTAATAAACCATATAACTCTTCATATCAAGAGAGGTATGATCGTTTGAATTTAGGTATTGTGTGAACTCACTTGAAACTTTTTCCCATCATAAAATTTTCAACTTGACTTAGCCTTGGGGCCCTTCTTAGACCATAAACCATTCTTAATGCACCTCATATATATATTATCATGATCAATTGATATTATTCATATAATAGTCCCTTTTCTGCACACAAAATAATATAATTAGCGCACATCAACTTTCTTAATAGCGTTTAAGTAGTTCAAAATATTTTCGGGGTGTTACAGGTTACTCCCTAAATTATGTTCACAAGTTAAAAAGAGAAAATGATTCTCTATAGCCCCTCAAAATTTTAATAACCCATGTTTTTTTCCATTGATACGAAATGGCCCTTCGGCCCAAACATATTACATTTAATAGCCCGAGATGTCTATTTTGTATATGTTTTATATAGTGACAGTCTATTTTGTATATTTTTTGTATAGTAACAATCTATTTTGTATATTTTTTGTATAGTGACAGCTTATTTTGTATATTTTTTGTATAGTGACAATCTATTTAATATATATTTTGTATAGTGACGGTCTATTTTGTATATACTTTGTATAATGACAGTCTATTGTATATAAATTATATAGTGGCAGTCTATTTAGTATATTTGTGTATAGTGACAATCTATTTTTATATATATTTTGTATAGTGACAGTCTATTTAGTATATTTTTTGTATAATGATAGTCTATTTTTGTATATATTTTTTATAGTGACAATCTATTGTATATAAATTGTATAGTGATAGTCTATTTTATATAATTTTCGTATAGTAACGTATATATTTTGTAATATATCAATATTCAAAAGAAATGCTCTCCAGTCTAATACATAGTCTAAAAATATAATGGTCAAACTTTTGGGACTACTACTTGATTTGGAGTGATTTTTTCTCTTGTCTTTAAGTTGAAGGTTTCAAGAATTATATACAAGATTTGTCAAATCTCAACAGTTGTAGTATTAATATTAATGGTGTCTAAGCTCCAGCTTCGACCTCACCACAAATCGTGAAATCAAAATCAAAACCCAGTCAGTCTAATCCACTGTGCTCGATCCCGTTAGCTTTTAGATCTTGACGGAAACTCAAACACCTGCGACCCTCCATTAAATCCGACGACTCTTTCTTCTCGTTTTATTTATTGTTTTTGGGGCTTTTGATATATGAAAATCTAGATCTAAAAGATGGTTTACTTGCTATTTGGTGGCTAGTCACTAGAATTACTTTTGGGGGTATAAAATGTATATTGTAATTTTGAGCTACTGGGTGTTATAAGTTTGGTCCGAGTGGCTATAAATGAAATTTGGTCAATTAAAAATTGATGCAATTTTAGCCATTTACTCGGCCTTAACAACACGAGGAATAGCAGTGCAAGCAGCATGATGAATGTAAATGAGAAATTCAAAGGAATTACGCAAACTGACCACAGTCGACCCAATCCACCTTAAGGCGATACCATGTTATAATCCCGCCTGGGCAGACGAGACGAAACGGGTCGGGTCGGGTTGGTCAACGGACAAAAAGCTGAGAGAAAGCCACCTGGCAGTAAATTTCCGTGCTCAGCTAGAACAACAATGGCTGAAGCCTCTTCCAACAATGGCGGAACCGATCAGGTGCAATCCCATTCTGCTCTCAATACTCCAGTTCAAGTGTTCACTGGTTGTTTATTTACTTCTTTTTTGAAAAATAATAATTTAATTGTTACTTTTGGTTGTCAGATTTTGGTGGAGACATCATCAAATGTTAGAACGTTCATATTAAAGCTCAATGCACTTTCTTATGAAATGGTATTCCAAATATGATGTCACTATTATTTTGTTGGCCTACTTTTATTTTCTTTGTACTGTTTCCTTTACCGTACTGTCCTCAAATATATTATATCGTCTATAGTTTGTGTTTCATTGAAAACTTTATTTGTTGATTATTATCCATATAATTTATTAAGCCCGACCTTAACTAGTTTGTGATTGAAGTGTTAGTTGTAGTCGTAGTAGTAGTAGTTGTAGTAATAGTAATTGTTGTTGTTGTTGTCGTCTTTTAATTGAAGTCTGACTTACTTGATTTTTTTTTAACATGGGGACTTGATTTCTATGCTTACATGAGTTTGTTTGGGGATGATGGTGCTTCCAATGAATGCTCAAATTTTCTGGCTTCAGCTCAGACATCCCATAAATGCAAGTTAAGCCTTAAGCATTACTGGTCACCTTCCGCACATTAATTCATTGTATGAGGAAAAAAATCAAGATTTGATTTGGTTTCTTATCATGATCATTGTTTTCCTGTGTCTCAATAAAGCAGAGAAATAAAAGTTGATTTTACCCAAAATTTCATTATTAGAGTGGTTTTTGTGAAAATAGGTACTATCTATCTATCATGAAAAAAAGGAAGAAGAAATGAAAAGAAAAAAGAAGATCATATTCCTTCTTAGCTTGAGAACTATTGTTAATCTTCTTAAGCTTGAGAACTATTGTTGATCTTCTTAAGGCGAAGGAGAATTTTTTTTTCTCTCGAATTGTATTTGCTTAAACATGTGTAGTTACCTCACTGATCAAAAAAATAAAACTGCGCAGTTACTTCTTATTGGACGTCATTTTAAACTTTCCTTCAATCTAAAAATTGTTGAATATATAGAGAGTAATTAAATCACAACTATTATATCTAAAGGTAGCTAATAAATAGTAAATGAGACAATAATAAAAAGAACACCAGAAATTAACGAGGTTCGGCAAAATTTAATTTTTGCCTAGTACTCGGGCACAATCAACTCAAATAAATATATTGACTTTAGTAACTTTAAAAATAAATATCAGGAAAAGAGAATTTCATGACATTTATAAGAAAGAGTTGCAAAAATAAGGACATTTAATACAAAATGTCACAATTATAGTGACATTTATTCCAAGTGTCATGTTATTTGTCGGTAATTAGCAACATTTACCACAAATGTTAGAAATTTCTCTACATTTTTTTCGGTAATTGAACGAAAATTTTAGTATTTTATCTTTCCCTCCCATAAGTGAAAATTTTAGACATAAATGAATAAAGCAAAAAGCCCTCATCTATCGAAGTTTAGGAGCTGTCGTCGCCTCTGCCCCACTTATTTCTCTCTCACCATCACCGGCAACCATTCCAGGTAANATGTTTCTATGAAGGATTTCCACCCTTGTAAATTTTTATCTTTATAAAATAAGATTCGAGAACTAGTTTTTTGAGTATCGTCATCGCTAATTGACATCTTGTTTGCTATTTTTTATGTTTTTTATTTTTGAAAATTTTGCCAATTAATATTACTTCAGTTTTGAGTTTTAGGTGGACCATTAGGATTTTCTATGAAAAGTTGTAATCGATATCTTTTCCACCTTTATGATTGTGAACTGATTCTATGACGTAGGACAATTTAAGGAACTACCTTCGTTTCAGCCGAACTCTTTTTTCAGTTTTTAATTTAGACTTTGTATCTGCTAAGTACACTTCAACACTTCGCTAATATGACATGTTGGACACTGAGAAGAGTAATTTTAGCACTGTATTTTTAAATTTAAATTGGATGCTCAAGTTCGAGTTCTATTTAGAGGATTGCTTTTCAACCTGCTTTGGAATGAGATAGTAGATTCATGTGAATGATGATCTATGGGTTTTGGCTATTAAACTCTGTTTCATTGCGATTTCAGGTAGTCCAATGTTTCATTGGAATTTCAAGTAGTTCCAATATATGGTTCAGTTAAGAAGATTATTCTTAGCCTCTTTTGCGTAGCACGACACATTTGGCCTTCTAGTCAGGTTGGAGTCATAATTCTTTCAGATTTTATTTACATCTTATGTTTAAGTTTGCACTTTGATTTGTATATTGTAGGCCATTATTCTTATCTAGCATTAGATGGAAAGAGCTGGTGAATTGTTCATTTGAACATTCGGTTGAGCTAACATTCATTGTCTTATAGGCAAAATGTGTGCTCTAGCATATCATATTCTTAATATACTCTTGCTAAAATGGTCCTGAGCTAATTTAATAAATATATTAAGCATAAATATGAATTTTCAGCCAAGAAAACTGTCCTAAGTTACTTTTGAAATTTGATAGCGATTGTTATTTAACTCTCTTCCTTGACAGAGAAAGAGACATAAAGTTGTGGCAAAAGATAGAATTCTTCTCCATAAAACAGCACCTACAAAGTATTTCTTCTTTTCTTATTCTTTTGGACGGCAAGTTTGGTTAAGCATCATTGGTTGTTTCAAGTCTCTATAGTCATATATGTGGATTTTTCTTCGTGTGGTGTTCTTTTGGTTAAGTACTTTTGTGTTATCTTTATTTCTGCTCAATAATTCGTATCATTTCCTCCGTATTAACTTTCAACTCTGAACTCAATTTGTATATACAAGGGAGGCCTTTCCTTAGAGTGCAAGAGTGGTGATGTATAACTAGTTACTGGATTCAAGTTCTGTTTTTTCTTTATGTTGTTATCCCTTTTAAATGTTTGAGAAAGATCTGGGGTTGATATTGTTGAGTTGCAATTTATTCTACTTAGGAACAATTGTTAGCATTCTTAATTTACTGAAAGAATTTATTTTTTTAAGATCAACTTGTAAATTCTGCTTTTTTGGGAAGTCTGATCTCTGAATTCTAGTGCTTGATGTTTTTCTAATGTAGCTTGATAATCAAATCTAAGTTTTGAATAGTCTAATATTTTTTGTCGGGTTAACATAATCAAGAACTGCAAACAGTGGAGCTGGTACGAAGAAAAAGAAGAGGGTAAATTTTGAAAACAATAAATGTACTCTTCTTGTACTTTATTATATAGTTATATATTTTTTATATGGACTTCTTGTACAACATTTTTGGTGGATGTGAGATCAATTACTAGCAAGGGAATGCTCGACTTTTGGAAAGATGCATCCATAAAGCTTTATTGCATAATTTATTCTGGAAGTTAAGGGAAGTAGCTCCAATTAGGAGTGATTCTAACATAGGTGTATGCTGGATTCACTGTCTTTTATGATTTAATTAGTTTTTAGATTTGTCTTTTCTGATTTAGTTAGTAATGGAGAGATGATTTGATTTGACGTCATCAAAATTGTAAGGAGTACGCTTATTCGATCATCACTTTGTTCTTTTGATACAATAATAAAAGTTATTTTCTTTAGATATATTTTGTATTTATTACATTGATTTGGTGTTTCATATTTATGAAATTGCAGACTTGATATAAATATTTATGTCACTATGAAAGTATTAACATTAACCTAAATGTTGAAATTTTTGATACGACATTTCCCAAAAGTTATAAATAAATGTCGTGAATCTTTTATTGACATTTTAATATAAATGTCGGAAATAAGATTGTGACATTTTATAAAGGCTATAAATACATGTTGTAAATCTTTTACCAACATTAGGTTAAATGTCATAAATTTCAAGTGACAATTTTATAAATGTCGCAAATCTCTTACCGACATTAACATAAATGTCAGAAAATTCCAGACCCCAAAATTTACGACATTTAGTACAAATATAAATTAAATGTCGGTAAATGAATTAACGATATTTAAGTGACCTAATATGACATTTATATAATGTTGTCGTATCCTCATTTTCTTGTAGTGACAAGTGAAATACTACGAGAGAGAAAGAAGATTCAAATGCCTTAGGAGATAAAAAGGCAACTGAGAGATGTTTTCAAATGAACAAAACCTTTGCTATTTATAGAAGGGAAATTACCTTAATAATGTCATGTATGACATCATATTAAGTGTGATCATGCAATGTAAATGCATGAAAAATGCATCTACCAATTTTTTCCTAAAAGGAGGCTTCAAATATTCACACTAGTTCACATTAATCTTGTCAAATTTAAAAAATCTCCACCTTGACAAGATTTTACTTTTTTAATTTTCTCTCACTGATAAATTTTGATTGTGTCTTCAACTTCAATCTTCAAAGTTCAACAATATTGATCAAGTTCAAAAAATGTTGAAACTTGATCGCACTCACTACTTTTGTTAGCATATCGGCAAGGTTGTCTGTAGTCCAAATTTTCTACACCATGACTCCACCTTCTTCTATAATATCTTGTACAAAGTGATATCGAACATCAATGTGCTTCGTCCTTGCATGATAAACTTGGTTCTTTGCTAATTGGATATCACTCTGACTATCACAAAATAATGTGATGCTTTCTTGACTAATACCAAGCTCTCTAAGCAACCCCTGAAGCCAAACTGCCTCCTTTACAACCTCTGTAATTGCCATGTACTCTGCCTCAACAGTAAACAAAGCAACCGTTGACTGCAAAGTAGACTTCCAACTAACTGGTGCATTTGCAAAAGTGAAAACATAATCAGTAATTGATCTACGCTTGTCCAAGTCATAATATCCAATGAGATATTGACTATTTTCCTGCTAACAAATCAATCCAACATCTACAGTATTACGAATATACCGTAGAATCCATTTCACAGCTTGCCAATGCTCATTTCCTGGATCATGCATATACCTGCTTACAACTTCGATAGCATGTGAAATATCAGGTCTTGTGCAAACTATTGCATACATCAAGCTACCAACGGCACTCGCATATGGCATTCTTGACGTATACTCTCGTTCAGCTTCATTCTTCGGCGACATGGTAGCACTAAGTTTAAAGTGAGGATCAAGAGGAGTGCTAACCGACTTCGTGTTCTCATTCATGCCAAATCGATTGATTACTCTCTTCAAGTATTCTCTCTGAGATGGATAGAGTTTCTTTGAATGTCTATCTCTTTTTCTCTCCATACCAAGAATTTTCTTCGTCTCACCCAAATACTTCATCTCAAACTTCTTTCTCAGTTGAATCTTCAACTTCTCAATTTCCTCTTGACTTTTGGAACCTATCAACATATCATCAATGTATAGGAGAAGATATATGAAGGATCTGACTTCAAGCTTGCACAAATACACACAATGATTGTATTTGCTTCTTCTGTACTTCTGCCACAACATAAACTTGTTAAATCGTTTGTACCATTGTCTAGAAGATTGTTTCAATGTCTTTCTTAATTTGATTAACATAGATTAATTTTATTTTCATTACATTTCGAAGTTTAACTCCTCAAGTAATTATTTCAATCACATAACCTCAGATGTAGGCCAAGGCCATATCTTTGAACTCAGCTTTGTTCTCTATTTTTTCTTTTTTTGATGAAGTAAGATGTTATATATTGTTGTATCAAGAAGATGCAATGATTATAAATGAGATATGTTAGCTCCATTACATCATGTTCTATAATAAGTACAAGGAGCAAACCAAAAGAAAAACAAAAGCAGTCTGTCAAGCCAGGGTAAGAGAGCTGATAAAGTCTGTGAAAGGAATAACATTATTTACAAGGGCTAGATTACTCCTGTAGAGAAAGGGGTCACTTAGTTTGTATATAGAGCAAGGGAATTTTAGACTATTTATCAGTAGAGTTGTTAGTAGATTGTTAGAGGCGGTTAGTTAGTTCTAATAGTAACTAATTGTATAAATACAGAGTTGTAGCCCATTGTTTCATTGAATGAAAAAGATACAGATATTCTTCTTCCTTCCTCATTTCATTTCGTCTCTTGTCTTAGCTAGGGTTCTTCATCTCAAATCTGCTAATTCAGCATGGTATCAGAGCCTTAAGGCTAGTGATTTTAGTCCCCATCGATTCAAGCTGAAGCTGCGTGTGTTGAGCGGTTAGATTTGTGATTGAAAAATTCACCATAGACATTCTTGACATAATTGTTGTCAAAGCACAACTAAGAAGCCATGGAAGATACTGCTCCTGTGAACACATCTGTCACTGGAGCGGGTAAAATTGCTGACGCTGTGGACGAAAATCAAACTGGCGATGATTGTTTGGTCGATTTACCTCACAATCACCCAATGTACCTTGGACCAGTAGATACGAGTGGAGCTCATCTCATTTCGTTTCAATTAACAGGTACTGATAACTATACTCTTTGGGATCGATCAATGAGAATTGCTCTACGAGGAAGAAACAAGCTAGGTATTGTAGAAGGAAAGTGGAAAAAGGAGAAGTTTCGAGATAATCTGTGGGAACAGTGGGAAAGATGTAATGCTATTGTACTCTCCTGGTTGATGAATGTTGTAGCTCCTCAACTTATTGGAGGAGTTGTGTTTGGATCAAGTGCACATGCAGTGTGGGAAGATCTCCGAGAGAGATTCAGCAAGGTAGATGGATCTAGGTCGTACAATTTGCACAAGGAGATTGCGACTCTGTATCAAGGTACCTCTTCAGTCTCTGTGTACTATACAAAATTAAAGGATCTGTGGGATGAATACGAAACTCTAGTACTTACACCTAGTTGTGATTGTGAAAAATCTAGAGACTATGTAGTACACATGAGGAGGCAAAAGTTGTATCAATTTCTAATGGGCCTGAATGAGTCATACTCTCTAGCAAGGAGTCAGATACTACTAATGCATACTTTACCCTCAGTGAATCAAGCATACTCTATGATCATGAGAGATGAAAGCCAAAAATCAGTAGCTGCTATAGCAGGAAACTTAGGCACAACTACTATAACTTCTGAGAACTTTGAGCCTACTGCTTTGCTCAGTTCTAGATCTGGAAGGACTCAAAACAACAATTTTCAAACTAGTGGTCCTAATGTGCAGTCTGGCAACTTTTATCCTAATAGCTATCCAAGACCAAGGAAAGGCTATGGTGAGTTTTGTGAGTATTGTAGGAAGAAGGGTCATAGCAAAAGAAATTACTACAAGATCATTGATTATCCACAAGGACCTAAATCCAAAAAGAAAGGGGGAGCAGTCAATTCCTCTGCTTATAGTGTCTTCACTGAAGAAACATACCAAAAGTGTCAGGCACAACCACAATTCATGATGCAGACTCAACAAGGACAAAGTTCACAGATGCAGGCTCAACCACAATTGATGATGCAGACTCCAGGACTTCACAACAGTGGGCAGGGGAAACAAACATCTCAAACTCCTGCTTATTCATTTACTAAGGAACAATATGATCAAATAGTGCAGATGCTAAACAAAGTTACTGGAACCATTCCCTCAGCAAATATGACAGGTATCCGTAGTGCATGTTTAGTGAATAATAAAGCTCATGGCTGAATTATTGATACAGGAGCTACCAACCACATGGTGTCTGATCCTAATCTGTTGTCTAAGGCAGAAGAAATCAAGCCTAGTAATTCTAAGCAAGTTAATCTACCTAATGGAGAAGTAGCTAATGTTACACACATTGGTACTAGTATACTTTCAGCATGGAGCACAATAGAAAATGTGCTATACATTCCTCAATTAAGATATAATCTATTATCAGTGTCAAAACTAACTAAGGCTCTACGGTGTTGTGTCACCTTTTTTCCTGATTTCTGTGTGTTTTTAGAATCTTTAGAGTGGGATAGTGAAAGCGATTGATAAAGAGACAGATGGTCTTTACATTTTAGCACCACATGTAGCTAAAATACAAGAAACAAAGAGCATGGTTGTCAAAGAAGCTGAAGCAAAGAATCTGCAGAATGTAGCACAAAAAGAAGAAGTAGATGCTGAGCTGTGGCATAAGAGGTTGGGGCATATGTCAAGTG